GGCTCCGGGGCTCCTACGTGCTACAGAGGAAAGGGAAGCTGCAAAGGGCGCCGGGCATTGGCGTTGCAATGTTGAATAGAACGGCCAAGGGAGGGGCGCCTGGGTGGCTCAGCGGCTGATCATCTGCCTTTGGCTCAGGTCGTGATTCCGGGGTGCCAGGATCGGATCCTGCACGGGGCTCTCCACAGGGAGCCCGCTTCTCCCTCTCTGCCTGCCTGTCCTTTATTTATTTATTCATGAGAGACACAGGCAGAGGGAGAAGCAGGCTCCATGCAGGGAGCCCGACGTGGGACTCGATCCTGGGCCTCCAGGACCACGCCCTGGGCTGACCGCAGGCACTAAAACCGCTGAGCCACCCGGGCTGCCCAAATAAATAAAATATTTAAAAAAAGAAATGGCCAAGGGAGGCGCTCCTGGGTGGCTCAGTTCAGCATCTGCCTCTGGCTTGGGTCACGACCCTAGGGTGCTGGGATCCATCAAGCCCCTCATTAGCCCCTCATCATCTCTTTGCTCAGTGAGGAGCCTGCTTCTCCTTCTGCCTGCCACTCCCCCTGCTTGTTCTCAATCTCTGTCAAATAAAAAATGAAATCTGTAAAAAAAAAAAAAAGAATGGCCAAGGGGATTGACCTCATTGAGGTGACTTTTTTGAGGAAAAGCCTGAAGAAGATGAGGAAGCCAGCCAATTAGATGTCTAGGGGGAAAGTGTTCAGGCAAAGGGAAGAACCACTGGAGAATTCTCGGGCAAACATGCTTAGGTGTTCCAGAAGAGGAAGGAGGCACATGTGACTGGAGTGGAGTGAATAAAAGAAAGAGACATAACTTGGGGTCAGTGAGCGAAGGAAAGCAACAAGACACGTACAACTTGTAAGTCCTTGTGAAGACTCTGGTTTTCTGTGCGACAGGAAGCCATGGAAGGGTTTAAGCGGTGGAAGGACATCATCTGACAAGCTTTACAAAGGATCAGACCCATAGTGTAGCAGGAATGGAAGGAAGGACTGCAAACAGGAGGCTATTGCATGGATGTAGGGCCAGGATGAAGGTGACTTGGGTCAGGGTAGGGGGAGCTGGGCGTGGTGAACTGGACACACCCAGTGAAGAGCCGAGAGACAGAAAAAGAACACTCAAGGGTTGGGACCCCTGGGTGGCCCAACAGTTGAGTGTCTGCCTTTGGCTCAGGCGGTGATCCCAGAATCCAGGATCAAGTCCCACATCAGGCTCCCTGCGAAGAGCCTGCTTCTCCCTTTGCCTGGATCTCTGCCTCTCTCTCTCTCTGTGTCTCTCATGAATAAATAAATAATCTTAACATTTCCCAGTTTAAAAAAAAAAAGAAGAAGAAGAAGAAGAAAGAAAGAACAGTCAAGGGTAACATCCAAAAATGGAAGTATCCTCACATCTTGGAGAGATGAAAGTTTGGGAGCAGGGGGCAGATCACAAACCCTATTAGACATGCAAGTGTAGCTGTTGAGCTGGGTGTTGCTGACTGGAGTGTGGGGAGAGAAGTTTCGAGCTGGAGGAAAAATTTGGGAGTCATCAGTGAATAGACTGCATTTGAAGTCATGAGCCTGGATGACAGGCTGGATGAGACAGTATCTATGGCCAAGAGGAAGAAGAGGTCCAAGAACTGGCACCCAGATCGAGCTGCTCTATTGCCTGCTTCGTCTAGAAAGGCCAGCCATCCAGGAACGCGCCCTGTCCTGCTGCCACCCCAGGCCGAGCTCTTCCTCTAGCCACCTCCCAGCTCCATATGGTCACGGCCCCCTCCAACCTCGGCATATGACTTTTCCCTTCCTGTGCAGGAATCCTGGGGGCCCTAAAGATGAAAGAGGAAAATAGGGAAAGGCTGAAGACTGAAGACATGAGGGGTCCACAGGACTTTACAGGGAGCAGTCCTGTCCACATGGCCCTTACTTACCCAGAGTTTTGAGTCACCTGTCAATTCTGAGCTTTAACTGAACTTCCCCTACTTGGCAGCCCCCTAACAGTGAATGGCATCTGTTCTACTGGGGCCCCTGAGAGATACTCTGATCAGGGTTTCCCATGCAAGCCAGTTGTCTACACAGAAGAGCACTCCCACCCCTAAATCCTGTGTTTCATAACCTCACCCAAGAGGAAGGCCAGTCTTGGTAGCCACCACCCCATTACCACTTGCCCTATGATTTCAGAGATGACCCTAGCCCAACAGTAGCCACTGACTGCCTTTCTCTAGCAGGCTCTTCCTGGTGACCACAGGGCACGTCTGTTGTCTTTAACCAAAACCACTATGTCCCACTCTCGTGTGTCTTCCTTTGCCACCCCAATTGCATCAGAGAGGAGTGCATGACCAAGGCCAGCCAAAAGAGTGCCAGCAGGAGAAACCCAGTGTTTTTCTAGTGTTAAGTTGCCCTTCTGAAAAGAGGAGACCTGAGGATCAGTCCCTGGTGTGAAGGAAAACAATGCAGACAGTGACCCCCAGGGAGATGCCGGAGTCCAACTCAGAGGGCCAGGCCACCTCTGTCTGCAGCTGGAACATAAATGAGTGATTTCCCTCAGTGTCGATGTTGTGTGGAGCTGGGCTGTCATCTACAACCGCAAGTCCTTCCAGAGGTTTTATGGGTGTTCATCTAAGTGCTGTCACACTGCTTCTATTTTTCATTCTCTCTCTCAATTTTTTAAGATTTTATTTATTGATCATGAGAGACACACAAGAGAGAGGCAGAGACACAGGCAGAGGGAGAAGCAGCTCCCTGCAAGGATCCCGATGCGGGACTCGATCCACCTAGGCGTCCCCACACTGCTTCTCTAATGTCGTCTCCTGGCCATTTGAAACCCACAGGTGCTGCTTTGGTTACTGAAGAAGAAGCTGGACACAAGGCCTCGTGATCACCTTTCGGAAGGCTTCATCTTCTTTCTGACATTCTCTGGTAGACCCCCTCTAGTTTGGCCTCTGTGATTCCCAGGAGGTTCAACTACTCTAGATTTCCCAATAATATTTTAAGTTTGGGGGATGCCTGGGTGGCTCAGTGGTTGAGTGTCTGCCTTTGGTTGGGGTTGTGATCCCGGGGTCCTGGGATCGAGTCCCACATCTGACTCACCACAGGGAGCCTGCTTCTCCCTCTGCCTGTGTCTCTGCCCCTTTCTCGATGTCTCTCATGAATAAATAAATAAAATCTTAAAAAAAAACACTTTTCTTTTTTTTCTTATTTATTTATTTATTTATTTATTTATTTAATTTATTTATTTATTTATTTATTTATTTATGACAGTCACACACACACGCAGAGAGAGAGAGAGGCAGAGACACAGGCAGAGGGAGAAGCAGGCTCCATGCACCGGGAGCCCGACGTGGGATTCGATCCCGGGTCTCCAGGATCGCGCCCTGGGCCAAAGGCAGGCGCTAAACCGCTGCGCCACCCAGGGATCCCCAAAAACACTTTTCTTTAAAAAAATTTTTTTAAGTTTGACATTGTGATTTGAAACCCCAGTTACGTGTGCTTTCCATATTAGCAGAAAACGATATTGGTATCTGAAGGGCCATAAGTCACAGTTGCTAAGGAGAGAAAGCAAATAGGGAGGGACAAAGGGGATCATTATTACTTGAAAGGCATTCATCATCCAACTACTAGTGCCGTTACTACTACCGCTAGCTTACCGTGTTTGGAGCTCGGCCGTGCAACCGGTTCAACAGACAGGTTAAGAAATCTGGAAACAGCCACTCTGCTGCTAGGTGGAGAATTGATCCAAGGTTGCCTGATTTCTGAGCCCTGTTTTTTTTCTTTTTTTTCTTTTTCTTTCTTTTCTTTTTTTTTTTTTTAAATCACAGCCCTGTCCTGCCTGCCAGTTTCTGGCAATCCCCCACCATCCCAGTTCTGTTTTTAACCTCTAATTAGGCCTCTATGATATTAATTCCGATTGCCAGGGTAGAATCTTACAAGTGGGAAGGGCCAAGAATGGCACCTCCAACAGATGCGACACAGCAGCACGGGAGGAGTCAGGTAGGACAGATCAGCCAGTGCATTAACCGGGGCCCCTTCGGACCCGGTCTAAGGATTTGTGTGGGGCGGCAGGGAGACACCCGCCAGGGAAGGCGGGGCGTGTGGAGGGTGAGCCGTTAGCTACCCGACTGCGAGGTCGGCACCTCGGGTGGTTTGGGATTTGGAGTTCGGGACATTTTCAGCGTAAGGTAATTTTGCATTCTCCCCAGAGCGAAGCCCTACCGTTTCCCACCGCCAGGGCCGCCCCATGTAGTGCCAAGCGCCCCACCACCCAGAGGATAGGGGTCAGATACCTGAGCGTCTCCGGGGCGTGAGGCCTGCGGGGCTGCGCTAAACCACAACCCGAAGAGAGCTGGCGCAGCTCTGCGGCCTTGGAAAGCCCGCGGGGTCGCACTGAGTGTCGCGAAACTAGCACCTGGGGAGCCTGCGGCCAGCACAGTCCCAGACAAGAGCCCTCTTCCATAAATGGGGAAACTGAGGCAGGGGGCGTCTAGGTTAGTCTGGCTCCCTCATTCGGGACAGGCAGGCAGGCAGGCAGGCAGGCAGGCAGGCAGGCAGGCAGGAGCCAGGCCGAGCGGGGCTGGGGCACCACCCGAAGGTCGGAGAAAGTAAGGGGGCGGGGAGGGGGGCTGCAGCTCTGCAGCTGAGCTCCGGGAGCCCGCGGGAGGTCGGGGGGTCGGGCGCGCGGCGCTCACGCCCAGGGACGTTCGCCAGCTGCTCCGGGGAGGCGCAGCCCCGGGGTGCCGAGGCCCCGAGGAGCCGCGCCGCCGCCCCGCCAGGCGCCCCCCGCCCCCCGGGAGAGGGCGGAGCGCGCGAGCCTACGCGCCGGCGGGGCGGGGTGGCGCAGGCCGGGGGCGGGGGCGCGCACGCGTGTGCGTGTGGACTCGCACGTCCGGGGGGCACGTGTGCGCATGTCCGTCCCCGCGCCGGGAGGGGCGCCGGCTGCAGACGCCCAGCAAACGTCCGCGTCCGCACGTCCGCGATGGGCGTGCGCGCGCCTGTGCGCGGAGGCTGGGCGGGCGGCTGTGCGCGTGCGCACGCGAGCCGGGCCCTCGGCGCCCCCCGCAGGCCGCGAGCCCGTCCTGCGTCGTCTGCGATCGGCCGCTCCGGGGTGTCGCCCCAGATGTTCCCTGGGACTCCATCGGTAGTTGCTTAAAAAAAAAAAAAAAAAAAAAAAAAAAAAAAAAAACTCTTACTGCACAAAGGCGTGGGTTTCCACGAGAACGGAAAACTTTATGGTTACTAAAAAACTGCATCATCCTGCGCGCAGTTCCGAATGTGAGTCTCCCCTCGCAGTTCTGGTACAAACTCTGGTCATCACGTGTTCTTCTTCTTCTTTTTTAAATCACGTATTATTCTTTTAGTTTGATGTGAGAGCTGAGTTTTAAGTCGTTATCTTCTTTTTCTTTTCTTTTTGCATTAGAATTTGCTCAGTGATTTGCGCACCAACACCTTGTTTGGCCTGGCTCCTCTGGAAATGCTTCCCGCTGTTCTGCGTGCGTGGCCCTGATGAGACCTGATCCTTGCTCTCTGGAGGCCTTCGTTCTAGTGGGAGGGACAAAGGCAAACTCGATGGCCCGGGGAGCACTAAGCGCTATAATGAAAAAGCGAGTAGAAGCTGGGCTCTGGCCCAAGAGGGCAGATGGAGAGGCAGAAGCAGGGAGCACTCTTGGGAGCAGCTGGCAGGGGAGCACGGTGGCGGGGGGCGGGGAGCTGAGTGTACGGGAAACCCTGAGCCCCAAGAGCGAGAGGCAGGAGGCAGGTGAGGACCGGGTCATTGGTAGCATACTGAAGAATATGATGGAATTCAAATATGCTTGTGAATAGACTTCTAGGACTTGCTGGATGAGGAAAGGATTAAGGATGTCTTCTAGGATTTCTGTCAGAGCAGCCTGGTGGGTGGATGGTGGCGCCTCTTAGCAAGGATGAGAAAGATGGGGTTGTCTAAAAGACTAAAAGACTGAGTTTTCTTCCCCAAAGAAGACACATGGATGGCCAACAGACACATGAAAAGATGCTCGGCACCACTGATCATCGGAAATGCAAATCAAAACCACAATGAGATACCATCTCACAACCGTCAGAATGGCTAAAATAAAAAATACGAGAAACAAGTGCTGACGAAGATGTGGAGAAATAAGAACCCTCATGCACTGTTGGTGGGAACGCAAACTGGTGCCCCCCACTGTGGAAAACGGTATGGAGGTAACTTTAAAAAATTGAAAGTAGAACTACCCTATGATCCAGTAATTGCACTAGTGGGTACTTGCCCAAAGAATAAAAAATATTAATTCAAAGGGATACATGCACCCCTATGTTTATTGCAGCATTATTTACAATAGCTGAATTATGGAAGGAATGTAAGTGTTCATCGATAGATGAATGGATAAAGGAAATGTGGTTTATATACACAATGGAATATTATTCAGCCATAAAAAAGAATGAAATCTTGCCATTTACAATAATATGGATGGAGCTGGAGTAGCTTGCTAAGCAAACTAAGCCAGTCAGAGAAAGACAAATACCATACGCTCTTATTCATATGTGGCATTTAAGAAACAAACAAACAAAAAAAAGGCAAGCCAAAAAATGAGACTCTTAACCATAGAGAACAGATGGTTTCCAGAGGGGAGGTGGGTGGGGGAGATGGGTGAAATACATGAAGGGGATGAAGAGCACACTTGATGAGCACTGAGTAATATATAGAATTGATGAATCACTATATTGTACACCTGCAACAAATATAACACTGCTAACTACACTGGAATTATAATAATAATTTAAAAAGATAGTACATGGGATCCCTGGGTGGCGCAGCGGTTTGGCGCCTGCCTTTGGCCCAGGGCACGATCCTGGAGACCCGGGATCGAATCCCACATCGGGCTCCCGGTGCATGGAGCCTGCTTCTCCCTCCGCCTGTGTCTCTGCCTCTCTCTCTCTCTCTCTGTGACTATCATAAAATAAATAAAAAAAAAAATTAAAAAAAAATAAAAAATAAAAAGATAGTACAAATAAAAGACTTTGTTTTAAAAGCAGAGACTGCATCTTCTTTTCAGTTCTCCTCCTAGCAAGACCCTTGCTCCTTGATGACTTTAGATGTTGAAGTGAACAGGACACTCCTGAAACAATCTTTCCTCCTGACTTAAGCCCACACCCCAAACTCAGACCCAGTACTAGCCACATCCAGTCCCTCCATCAGACACACCGAGGCCTGAGCCCGGCCAGCCTACCCTTGTAGAATCGGCAAGTGAGCTGTGTGTGCGTGACTTCCAGGAGCCTGCCCCTGGAGCTTCCTCAGAATGTGTGGCTGGGAGGCAGCCAGTCACGCTTTCCATGAACATGGCTTTCTGGCATTTGAGGAGCTGGACATTGCAAGCGTTTATTTCCTCTGCGTCTCCAGATTAGGAAGCGGGTCACAACAGTGGTCACACAATGCACAAAGAGCCAAACTCGCAGTGTGCCACGGCGGGCACGCTGTTTTTCAGCTACTTTCCTTGGACTGGCCGTCCTCCTTTGCCAGGATCCGTCAGGTGATGAAGGAGGGGTCACCAGCCTCGCAAGGACCCTCTTGCCGCTCAGGTCTAACATCTGTTCAGGTTTCCACTCTCACCCATCCGGCGCATAGCTGGGCCACAGGACTCCTCTTGTCTCCACCACTGCTGTGAACTGAAGTCAGTGAACAGCACCACATACTGGTGTTGAACAGGAACATGCTTGAATAAAATGCTAGCATTTAATTTTTTTAAAAGATTTTATTTATTTATTTGAGAGAGAGGGAGTGTGAGAGGACAGAATGGTGGGGAGATTTAGAGGGAGATGCCGACTCCCTACTGAGCAGGAAGCCCGATGTGGGGCTCCATCCCGTGACCCCAGGATTATGCCCTGAGCTGAAGGCACACGCTAACCGACTGAGCCACCCAGGCACCCGATGCTAGCATTTAACATGCACTTCTAGGGTATTTCCTAGCACATTCACGCATCATAGCTGTTACTGAGTAACCTTGTCCTGGGGTGCGCTTAGAAGGCTCTGGGTCTTGGTCCCCGTGCTTAGCTTCTGGGCATTTCAGCAGAGAGAAGCTTGAGTGGTACTTATAGTACCTGAGTGGTAGGTTATAGATTAATGCTCATATGTGTTTTCCTGAGTTCATGAAAAAAAGTTTTGGTCAAGTCTGTCTTGCTGCAAGTGAAAAGAAGTTGATTCCCCTGTAACCCACCCTCCCTTTGTGGTTCCCACTGAACAAGCTTTCCTTTTCGCTGGGCATCATCCAATGTGACTAGTCCTTGTCCCTTTAAGGTATGGTCTCTTTTTGCCAAATAGGGGGTCACTGGCAGAGCAGAGTGAGAGCTCATCCCTGGGCCCACTCCTTGGAAACGCTGGCTGGACAGCTCACAGTGCCCATGGTTGGTGGAATGTGGGTGGTGGCCGACCACAATCCAAGGAGAGAACATGCATCGTTCCATGTGGTCTCCCTCCCCATGACATGGGCTCTGCCTCCAGAGGCCTCTCCCAGCTTTGGCCTTTGGGAAGCCAACTGGAGAGGTGTGGTAGGTTGTCTGCTTCCTGCCCGCCCACCCACCCCCCGCTCATCCTAATATTCCCAGGGGTCTTTCCTCTCACGAAGGTTTCAGAACCAGAGGATGAGCTGACCTAAGAACCACTGTGGGTGCAGCTTTGCAAAGTAATGAATCAGGCAGGGCTTCTGACATGTCTGCTGCAGTTCATTTCAAACAGAGATACAAAATATTATTAAATGTATATTTTTAATAAAGCCAATAGTTATTTTACTTATAGGAGCTTTAAAAGTAAGATACAAAATGTAGAGTTCCAGTTTGGAAGCGTTGTAACTATTCACACGACGTCCTGCTGATGCCCGAGCAAGGCAGTCACGCCCGGCCATGCAAAGGACACACACACACACACACACACACACACACACACACACACACACTGCGCGCTTTGGCGAGACCCCTCTGCCAAGCGCAGCACCTGGAATTACCAGTGTTCAGAGCAAGGCGGTGCTGAGAACACAGCACCTACAAGGAGACCACACAACAGCTTCACACAGCCTCACAGCCTGGGGATATGCAGTTACAAAATGGCCTGCTTATTTGAGAAGAACAGACTGGAAAGTGACAATTAGCGGTGTTGGTGTCACCTGCACAGGGCAGCAAGGGCTGACCTCTGTCCAGGGTGAGGTCTCTGGGGGAGGCACTATTAAGACAAGAGGACTTCAGTAGGATAGAACTTGAAATACAAGGTACTGCGGACACCTTACTGAAGGGAAGAGGAAACTACACTACAAGGAGAAACAGCCACAAACAACTCGGACAGATTAGTGCACACACAGTGACGGCTAACACGGACCAGAGCCACGCAGGGTTGGTGCAGAGCACGTGCCTGAAAAGGTCTATGTACAAAATAGTTCTCTGTAAACATGGTGAGGTGAACGTTCAGAACCCACGGTGAGAGGATCATAAGTACAGGCAGCAATGGCATCCCCACACAGCACAAAGGACGACACCCAAGGCCTGGAGACAGCCTGGCGACACAGTACTAAACATTCAGATGGCTGGGCTCAGACTCCCTAGGGGGCCTCTATCATTAGTGTGGATACATACATATACATATATATTTTTTCTTTTTGGTATTTTTAAATATAAATTTACTTATATCCGTAGAAAAATGAGAACATAAACGTGTTATTACAATCTTTGCTGGAAAAGCTTATATGGAGTTAGAAAGAATAAACCATTTATTAGTAGTTAACATATATATTAAAATGGTTTAATGATTTAAGAAAATATAAAAAAAATATTAATACTGTCAAACTTTCATACCAGAAAATATTATGGATTTTTCTCAATTAGACTTTTTCAAAGATGAAATATGAAAAATTTAAATAAGTTTTATATAAAGAACTTCTGTAACCTCAATTAATATACAGTGGGATATGTCTACTCTATAGAGATATATGTATCATTATTTCTCAATTTAAGCACCATTCAATTCTTCTGGATCCATTCTGGCTGGAAAATATCCCAAAATCCACAGGATGTTATCTCTTTAATGGCACACGTTAACTGAAAATGAGGTGGTTTTTTGTTCTTGTTTTTTGAAAGAAAAGACTTTAAATTAATTCCTATCTACAGCTTAATTGGTTTGTCTTGAGCCAGCTCACAAATGTTACTGCAATACTTCAAGTGCAGGTGTCTCTGTGCAGCCTCGTGACCACACCCCCAGGTTTGGAAACTGTGTCGAAACCTCTGGCCATGTGTGGACGGGAGGGCAGCAGGTGCAACTTTATCCTGCACACGGACAGCAGCCAGCTGGCTCATCTCCATGCACCATCAGGAATATGCCTCTAACATCAGTTTTATGATCCTGCTTTTGTAAATCCGGTCAGGACTGCACCCCTTGGGTGCTGCTTGGGGTGGGGAGGGGCTGCCCACCCACAGAAAACCCAGGTGATTGCTTCCAATCACAAATATTCTATACTTTGCCCGTTTTGTAGAAGCTTAAATATAGTGTTGAACAAACCTCCAGCCTCTATATTTGTTATCTTAAAATATTCAATGCATTTTAGGCAGGAGATGTTTTAACTAAAAACCTATATAAAGAATAGCTATGAGATACAGTGACTGATGTGGTCATCACTCAACGTGTTAAGGAGGGGGAGGGTTTCAGAAGAATGGTCAGTTTTGCTCTCAGCCTTAGGCCTGGTGCCTTCCCAATACACACAGTGGGACTACAAACTTGAGAGCTGTGTTTCTCAAAATGCAGCCTGTGGCCCACCTGCATCAGAATTGCTGGAGCTGCTTATTAAGCTTGAAGATCCCCCAGCATCTCCCTGAGGGTCCGACACCTGTTTCTAGCTGGCCCTCCAGGGATCTGATGCCTCCAAAGTCTGGGAAGCTGGGCCTTAGAGGCTTGGAGCTGCCAACTACCCCCATCCCCAAGGATCCCTGCCTGGGACAGGGGTGCACTGGTCCTCTGGGGGGCTGGTGCCAACTAGGCAGCCCTGGGGTGGGGACACTGACCCCAACAGCTCTGGGCAGGCGGGCCGGCCCTGGGTCAGTACTGGGGCAAGTAGGCCGGCCTGCGCTCAGCCTTCCCGGGGAAGGCTTTGAAGCCCTTGGGCGCCGCCTTGTGTGCTGGTGGGGGCGGGGGCTGTGGTGGGCTCTGCACATAGGGAAAGGAGGCGGTGCTGCAATCACTGGTGGCGGCCCACACCGGGGACTGCAGCATCTGCATGCTGTCATTCCACTGGCTGCCAGGGCTGGCAACTGCGTAGAGTGGTGCG